AATTCTAGCTTCCTTCCACATGTATGAATTACCTCTTCCTCGAACAACTTGTCCTTCTGACGAAGGATTTTGTCATACAGGTTCCCTCCTGCAATTAAACAAGAAACAGGTTGAGTGGCTCAATGCAGAAAAAAGTTTGGATCCTGAATTGCTAGAGGTTTTAAGAGGTGACATCAGGAAATGAAGGGTCTCGCTTCCTTTCCAAAGGAAACTATTTCTTCCCTCCTGGTTTTTCATATAGGTACAAAATTCTTCCCATCTGTGTCAGAAATATTTGTCAAACGTCTCCTCCCCTAGCACAAGAGGCTTAATACAAAAATGGGAGCTATCCGCTTTGGAACACCCGAGTAAAGATCACCCATGTACCTGGAGAAAAACATTCAGTCAGAACATCTTCTTTCTTAGACTCCCTAGACGGGATCTGCAACATTTCTGTAGGCATGTTGCCTGCATGACTATTAGGACCTGCAGATTACTCCTCTGATGCACGGATTTAAAAATACAGTGTTTATCAACAACTTCTGCTTTGCAATGAAAAGGTTCCTAAAATTTAGGGCCTACCCATAAATCATTTTAAGTTGTTCTTCCTTTTAAGTTATTATTTCTTCCTGTGGAATAAGTGTAAATTTCATCTTATTTCCTACACACAGCTACAGTTTATGATTAAATTTTTACAATTTTCCTCCCCTGCAATTCAGTAATGCACACTGAAAAAAAAAAAAGCATTTGTTCTAGTTCCTCTTAGCCACAAAGGAAGTGAATTATGTAAGGCTTATGCTATTCAGCTGGTATTTTTCTTTTTTAAAAAGACTTATTTATTTATTTATTATGTATACATTGCTCAGTCTGCATGTATGCTTGCAGGCCCGAAGAGGGCACCAGATCTCATAATGGATAGTTGTGAGTTATCATGTGGTTGCTGGGAATTGAACTCAGAACCTCTGGAAGAGCAACCAGTGATCTTAACCTCTGAGCCATCTCTCCAGCCCCGGTATTTTGTTTCTTAAACTAGGCAAAGTTGCTATCTATAAGAAAATTAATCCAAGAAATCAGAAACCAGAAAAATAAGGCCATATCATATTATCATTCTCATTCACTTATGATTTTTAGACCATTTATCAGTAAGGTAGCATTAATTGAAGTTAATGTAAATAAATGTCCCCATAAGATTTCATTAAATATTACATTGTTTGGTACTATGTTATATTACATCTAAAATGTTGAACTAATGTCGTTCTATGGGGAAAAAACCCTACAAAATACAACTGAAAAAAATCATTTGAAGAGCCAGGAGTGGTGGCTCAGAATCACAGCCTGAGCAGGTATCAGTTTCAGGCCAGTCTGGGTTATATGCTGAGTTCTCCACAAGCCTGAGATACAGCAAGACTCACAAAACCAAACAACAACAACAACAAACCAGAAAGAACTTCCCTCAACAGAACTCAGTAATTTAAAGATGGCCAGAACTATATCTACAAGAAAGTGACAATGGAAGGAAACTCCCTTCCCATACTCTGAACATCATCTTAAAACTCCCCAAGACCTCAACTATTTCTCTTTAACTCCAGAAATCCATTTAACGTTTTATCACTGTACATCTTTTCTTATAGTTTTCTTCCTCACAGTAATATGTGAATGTCTCCACTGAATTCCACCTTACCATTACAATACTCCAGCTCAATCAGCAGGGTGGTATTGTCCATGAAGTGATTGTAGTAGGCAATAATGTTGTCATGCTGCAACAGCGCCAGAATGACAATCTCATTCAAGGCATCACGACGTTCCTTTTCAGAAAGTCGGGTCAAATCAACTTCCTTCCACACCACCAGTGAGTCATCCTACAACACAGTAGCAGGAGCATTGTGTTTTCTTCTTGCCTGGCAGTACACGGATCCATACCCAACCTGTGAGCCTAGAAAGAAAACCTCCTAGAGAGGCAAAGAATGACTCTTTACTTTTTCCTTTTAATACACTTTAAAGACTCTGCACACAATTATTATAATTTACTGAAGAACTAAGGGAAATAAAGCATTAAGGTATAATTTTATGACTTAGAGAGATGTTGTGTTTAAGAGGGTGAATTGCTTTTGCAGAGGAACATTGTTTGATTACCAGCATCTACCATGGGCGGCTCACGAATACTTGTAACTCTAGCTCTTGGGAGGACCTATGTGGGGTCCAATGCCCCTGACCACTGAGGGGACCTGCACTTCCTTGCATATACCCATGTACAGACAGTGAATTAAAAATAAAAGTAAATCTTAAAAAAAAAAAAGTTATTCTGAGGGTTGGTAAGATGGCTCAGTGAGTAAAGGTGCTTACTATCAAACCTGATGACTTGAATTCAAGCCCCAGAGCCTGTGTGGTGGAGGAACTGACTCCCACAAGTTGTCCTTAGACTCCTCCACACACATGCCAAAATAAGTAAATGTAGAAAAAAATATTAAAACATTACTTTGGCCGGGCGGTGGTAGCACACACCTTTAATCCCAGTACTGGGGAGGCAGAGGCAGGCAGATCTCTGTGAGTTTGAGACCAGCCTGGTCTATGAGAGCTTGTTCCAGGATAGCCTCCAAAGCCACAGAGAAACCCTGTCTCAAAAAAAAAAATCAAAACCAAAACCAGAACCAAAATACATTACTCTGTTGCTACCCTTAACTTGCACAGTATCAGTTAAAGATAGAAGTATTAGATGAGACCAGACGGCAAGGATTCTCCTGAGGGATGCTGTTCATCCCTAGTCATAATGGGTTTGTGGCAGAATTTGGGGAAGAGCAGGATACAACAGCTTCTACAGTCAACAACAGATCTTTGTGAAATCCAAGTATTAAGTCTGCCTGATTTCTTAAATTTAAACTTCGTGATCTTCACTTATTTGTTCAGGATCAGAACTATCTATCTATATCTATATATATATATCTATATCTATCTATCTATCTATATATATATATATATATATATATATCCTCACAAACTGCAATCACTTCCATGCAAACTGACCTAACCTAACTCCATTTTGGGATACTTATAGTTCTTTATAGATACTGCTTGCTAACCAATCAGCACCCTCACCTCTGTTAACATTCCTGTAGAATACCTCTGCAAGGCCCCTAAAACTTTCCTTTGGAAAACTTTGGCCCTTTCACCGTGCACGTAAATACAGTATTCAACACCTGTACACTGAGAGTGCTCCATTCTTTTCCCCCTGACTCACACCCATACCTGAAACTGTTTAATAACACGGCTGACTGATCTCACTGAACTATAGCCTAGAGGGAAAGGGCTGCTTCTAATAAGCTTTGCAAATTCAGATGGAATGAATAGTGGGGTGATACAGATAATGCCATGCGGTTCTGAGGAGTGCGATAAAAATGAACTCAAAGCTAGTTAGTATTCAAGTTCAACATGATGAAAAAGGAAAGAGATGGGAAACTGGAGCTATCACCCGAGGTTCATTCCAAACCTTGGAAAGCCATTAAAGACACTCACTGGCTTAGGTGTGAGGAAAAAACAGTGATGCTCATTTTGAGCACAAATAAGAATACAGCTGATTACAGATGACATTAATTCAAACACTGTTTATTAATTAACACTATTTCTTTGCAACCACTTTTCTTCCCCCTTTTAGCCTTAGACATGTATGCCGGGGGCTGCAGGTGTGGCTCAGTGGTAGCTGTCTCATCCCCAGCACACACACACACAAAATGCTGGCTGGGAGCAGATACTAGAATTGCAGGTGGATGAACCACCTTGTGCAACTTCACCAGTTTCATTAAATCTTTACCCTAAAGCTAGAGCTTTAAGGCTGTAGTGATTAAAGCCAATTTATGGTTAGTTTTTGGGAGCAGAATCACCACTACAGGGTTTTAAATCATTACATATTCTTAATGTGGGAGTCAGTGATCCAGGGGTCTCTCCCAAAGAGTGTGAACTGATGTAAGAAAGATGACTTGGCTTTCCCGTGTTCTCAAGGAAAGGGATCCTTGTTCCCCCAATAGTTAAGAACTAACTGCACCAATAAAGTATTTGTCTTATACCAACACTGAAGGATAAATAAGCAAGGAGAAAAAAAAAAACAAACAAATAAGACACGATGATCTTCCTGGTGATCTAGAAAATCCTCCAGCTGGGTGATTATTTATGAACTTAAAAATAATGTCACTACTAGCAGCAGAGTTGGTGTCAGCGTGGGTATTCAGAAGCATGTACCAACTCCCCATCCCGACCTTGACCAGCTACACGAAAGGAAGTAAGCTTTGGCAACAGCTGTTCACAGTGTGCAAAGCACCTTTGTTTGGGTCTCAAAATAACCTTAAAAAAAAAAAGGCAAAAGTAATACTTTTTAAGAGTAATTATTGCTAGGTCCAATTACAAATGGGAAAACGGAAATTTGAAAGACTGCACAGTGACTTCGCTCAGTTCTCCCGGTGAAATAAAAGTGACAGTGACAGAGGTGATCAAACCAATTTTCTAGTGCAGGTGAACCGAAAGCGCGGTGGAACCCCGAGACATAAACCCAGTGGACGCCTCAACACAGAGGACTCAACACAGGGG